TTGCCGGTATAATACACCCACCATATACCTCCCTCAAAACAGCCACCATACCTACCTATCATGGTATTTCCATAGCCATTCCGAGATATATTGCCATGCAACTTTCCACCGTTCCGTTCATATGACATACATTACTTTTGTCATATAGCTTTTTGCATGAACTTGTAGTTGACATTGTATTTGTGGCAAGGCCACCTTCATAATTTTCATACATGTCGCTCTTGATTCATTGCATATCCCGGTACACCGTCGGAGGCATTCATATAGAGTCATATTTTGTTCTAAGTATCGAGTTGTAATTGTTGAGTTGTAAGAAAAATAAAAGTGTGATGATCATCATTATTAGAGCATTGTCCCGGTGAGTAAAGGACGATGGAGACTATGATTCCCCCATAAGTCGGGATGAGACTCCGGACGAAAAAAAGAGTGGCCATAAAAAAAAGAGAAAAGGCCCAAATAAAAAATATGAGAGAAAAAGAGAGAAGGGACAATGCTACTATCCTTTTACCACACTTGTGCTTCAAAGTAGCACCATGATCTTCGTGATAGAGAGTCTCATATGTTGCCACTTTCATATACTAGTGGGAATTCTTCATTATAGAACTTGGCTTGTATATTCCAATGATGGGCTTCCTCAAAAGTTCCCTAGGTCTTCGTGAGCATGCAAGTTGGATGCACACCCACTTAGTTTCTTTTGTTGAGCTTTCATATACTTATAGCTCTAGTGCATCCGTTGCATGGCAATCCCTACTCACTCACATCGATATCTATTGATGGACATCTCCATAGCCCATTGATACGCCTAGTTGATGTGAGACTATCTTCTCCTTTTTTGTCTTCTCCACAACCACCATTCTATTCCACCTATAGTGCTATGTCCATGGCTCACGCTCATGTATTGCGTGAAAGTTGAAAAAGTTTGAGATTATTAAAGTATGAAACAATTACTTGGCTCGTCATCGGGGTTGTGCATGATTAAATACTTTGTGTGATGAAGATAGAGCTTAGCCAGACTATATGATTTTGTAGGGATAACTTTTTTTAGCCATGCTATTTTGAGAAGACATGATTGCTTTGATTAGTACGCTTGAAGTATTATTACTTTTATGTTAATATGAACTTTTGTCTTGAATCTTTCGGATCTCAATATCCATACCACAATTAAGAAGATTTACATTGAAATTATGCCAAAGTATAACTCCGCATCAAAAATTCTTTTTTATCATTTACCTACTCGAGGATGAGCAGGAATTAAGCTTGGGGATGCTTGATACGTCTCCAACGTATCTATAATTTTTGATTGCTCCATGCTACTTTATCTACTGTTTTAGGCAATATTGGGCTTTATTATTCACTTTTATATTATTTTTGGGACTAACCTATTAACCGGAGGCCCAACCCAGATTTGTTGTTTTATGCCTATTTCAGTGTTTCAAGGAAAAGGAATATCAGACGGAGTCAAAACGGAACGAAATCAACTGGAGAAGTTATTTTTGGAAGGAAAGCAACCCAGGAAACTTCGAGTGCACGTCAGGGGAGATATGGGCTGCCCACGAGGGTGGGGGCCGCCCCCTGGGCACGCCTCCCAGCCTCGTGGGGCCCCCGTAGCTCCTCCGACCTACCCCCTGCACCCATATATACTCTTGTACCCTAAAACTTCCAGAACAGAACCTAGATCGGGAGTTCCGCCGCCGCAAGCCTCTGTAGCCACCAAAAACCAATCGGGACCCTGTTCCGGCACCCTGCTGGAGGGGGATCCCATCACCGGTGGCCATCTTCATCATCCCGGTGCTATCCATGACGAGGAGGGAGTAGTTCACCCTCGGGGCTGAGGGTATGTACCGATAGCTATGTGTTTGATCTCTCTCGCTCATGTTCTCTCTCGTGTTCCCTCTATGGCACGATCTTGATGTATCCCGAGCTTTGCTATTGTAGTTGGATCTTATGATGTTTCTCCCCCTCTATTCTCTTGTGATGAATTGAGTTTCCCCTTTGAAGTTATCTTATCGGATTGAGTCTTTATGAGAACACTTGATGTATGTCTTGCCGTGATTATCTGTGGTGACAATGGGATATCATGTGCCACTTGATGTATGTTTTGGTGATCAACTTGCGGGTTTCGTGACATTGGGAACCTATGCATAGGGGTTGGCCCACGTTCTTGACTCGCCGGTAGCAGCTTTAGGGCACTCTTTGAAGTACTTTTATGTTGGTTGGATGAATCTGAGATTGTGTGACGCATATCGTATAATCATGCCCACGGATACTTGAGGTGACAATGGAGTATCTAGGTGACATTAGGATTTTGGTTGATTTGTGTCTTAAGGTGTTATTCTAGTATGAACTCTATGATGGATTGAGCGGAAAGAATAGTTTTATGTTATTTTACTACGAACTCTTGAATAGATAGAACAGAAAGGATAACTTTGAGGTGGTTTCGTACCCTATCATAATCTCTACGTTTGTTCTCCGCTATTAGTGGCTTTGGAGTGACTCTTTGTTGCATGTTAAGGCATGTTATGATCTATCTACGTTATTATTGTTGAGAGAACTTGCACTAGTAAAAGTATGAACCCTAGGCCTTGTTTCCTATCATTGCAATACCGTTTACGCTCACTTTTACCGCTAGCTACCTTGCTGTTTTTATAATTTTAGATTACAAATACCTTTATCTACTATCTATTTTGCACTTGTATCTTCATCTCTTCGCCGAACTAGTGCACCTATACAATTTACCATTGTATTGGGTGTGTTGGGGACACAAGAGACTTTTTTTTATTTGGTTGCAGGGTTGTTTGAGAGAGACCATCTTCATCCTATGCCTCCTACGGATTGATAAACCTTAGGTCATCCACTTAAGGGAAATTTGCTACTGTCCTACAAAACCTGTGCACTTGCAGGCCCAACAACGTCTACAAGAAGAAGGTTGTGTAGTAGACATCACCTACCTCCTCCGCTCATGATTTCGGTAGCTCAGGTACGAGAGCGTGGCCCAACTGATATTTTTCAATTTTCTTCTTTCATTTTTTTGTTTCTTTTTTCTTACTTTGTAAACTAGTCACGAATCGATTAGGATTTCAAAAAAGTTCTTAATTTCAACAACTATAGATGAATTTAAAAAATGTTCATGAATTTATAAAATATTAATGAATTTGAAAATGTTCAAGATTTCATAAAATGTCACCAAATAGGAAAATTTTAACGAATTCCATAATGTTCACAATATTAAGAAAATGTTCGCCCATTTCAGAAGTTGTTCCCAAAGTTCTAAAAAAAATCATTGATTCAAAAAATGTTCGCTGATTCAAACAATGTTCATGTATTTCAAAAAAGTTTGCCAAAACAGAAAAAATGCCTGAGAATTTTAAAATCTGTTCCCAAAATATTCGTGGATTCAAAAAATGATGAGCATTTTGAGAAAATGTTCCCAATTTCAAAAAATGTCCATGAGTTTGAAACAAATGTTCCTGAATTTGAAAAATGTTCAGGAATATGAAAACAATTCACGCATCTGTAAATGTTTGTGATTTAAAAAAATGTTCCCTTATTAAAAAAATGTTCATGATTTTAAAAATGTTAAGAATTTGAAAGATATATGCGAAATGAAAAAAAGGAAAATTAAAACCAAAAGAAAAATAAAATTGTTCATGATTTTTAAATTGTTCATGAGTTTAAAAGATGTTCATAAATTAAAAAACGAAAAAAATATAAATAACAAAATAAAAGTAAAATATAGACAGGAAAAAAATAAAGGTAAGAAGAAACAAAGAAAACAAAAAAATTCTAGGAAAGTTAAGGTTCTAGAACCTTGTAATACCCGAGGGAAAACCCAGCAAGGCTTGACCCATACTGAGGACATGCACACGAGACGGGTACGCGCTAGGCCGCTATTTGGCTACCTATGCGCCAAGTAGTTCTGGCCGGAGCACGTATCCAAGGGTTACGCGCAAGGGTCACTTTCTTCGAATGCGAGTGTGCCAAGTGATTCGCCCGGCCGCCGACAGGTGTTGCGTGTAGGGCGCTTCCTTCGGATTTTGTTTTTTTATTTCTCCGTATGCGTTTTCAAGTTTTGGATGAGTTTTTATTTCTTCTTTTTGGCTTTTGTCTGTTTTCCTACGTTTGGGAGTAAATATTAGTTTATGAAAAGAAAAAAAACTAGTGCTTCCACAAGAAGCACATATTTGCTTCTCAGGGAAGCACAAATTTACTTCTGCGAGAAGTATACTGGTTCTTCTCGAAAAGGAAAAAACATATTTACTTCCGCGCGTGCTTCTAAAAAAAATTGTGCTTGCTTCTCGTGAAAAGCACAGATTTACTTTTGCGAGTTGTGCTTCTCAGAAAGCGAAAAAGAATCTATACTTCCACGAAAAGCACAGTTTGTTAGTCACGGATGTATTTCTAGGGAAAAAATTGTGCTTCCAAAACATTAAAACTGAAAAACCGCACCCGTGCTTTTTGGCTCCCTTTTTTTCTTATTTTTTCCTTCGATTGACGCTTTTTTTTTACCTTTTTTTGTTTCTGGGCTTTTTGGGATTTTTTTTCTTTCTGAAAAAAATTCGTCAAAACTTAATTCCATTTGATCTAATTTTGAAGTCTTAACGCAAGAAATCCAAGGTTAAACTTATCCGGCATTTGCACACAGTTGAAGAGATAAAGCATTTTGAATAAACAAAACTAAAAGAAAAAGAAAACACCCAGTTGTGACAAGTGACGCTCAATGCACCACTTGTCAGCACATTAGATGGTGGGGTGACCCTTTGCAAGAGCTACCTCTATCTGTTTGTTTAGCAGTGGGGGCACTCTATCAAAGAGCCGAAGGAGGACATCCAATCCTTCCAGTCTGGCCCAAATGCTCTTACACGGCCCAACGGAAGCAGCCATTCTCCTTTCCGCGTGTCGCGACTCTTCTCCTCCGGCGTCAGTGCCTACCCCAAGTATCCCCTCCTCACCGACCCAAACGAGCAGAGCTCCCCGCCCGCGATCCCCCGCCGCCGGCAGCCATGTCCAACCCCGAATCGAGCCCCCAAGCCGCCGCGTCGTCCACCTCGCCTCCCTCCCACGCCGGCCACATCCACACCCCGCTCTGCCGCTCCTGCGGCGCGCCCGCCGCGGCGCCCGCCCCAGCCCCCTGGACGGGGGATTCCCCGCCGCCCGCCTACCGCCCCATCCGCATGCCGGCCATCAACGCGCCCACCAACACCGCTGCCATCGTCCTCTCCCCGGTCCCGCAGCCCCTGCCGGTGCCGCCCGCCTTGCCGCCCTTCGCCTTCCAGGCCCCCGCCAAGCGAATCGCGTCCCCCGACGACATCGCGCGCTTCAAGGACTCCACCCACGGCCGCCACTTCCTCGGCTTCGTCGCCTCGCTCTCCGCCTCCGTGCACGGCCGCAAGCTCTCCGACCCGCTCCCCTCCCCTCCCTCCCCCGCCGTCTCGGCCCTCCTCGACCTCATCTCCGCGCTGTCCGCCTTCGTCGCCTCCACCCCGCCGTTCCCGCACAGCTCCCGCTACGGCAACCCCGCCTTCCGCCTCTGGCACGAGAAGCTCGGCAGCTCCGTCAACGAGCTGATCGCTCCGATCACAGCCGCCGCCGCGTCCCCCTCGGACCTCGTCGGCGCCGAGGTCGAGCTCGCGCCGTACCTCCTCGACTCCTTCGGCAACGGCACCCGCATCGACTACGGCACGGGGCACGAGACCAACTTCGCCGCCTTCCTGTACTGCCTGGCGCGACTCGGGCTCATCACCGACCCCGATTACCCCGCCGTCGTGCTACGCGTGTTTGCTTCCTACCTCGACCTCATGCGCACGCTGCAGGACACGTACCTGCTGGAGCCTGCGGGCTCGCATGGCGTCTGGGGACTAGATGATTACCATTTCCTGCCCTTTGTGTTTGGGGCTGCACAACTGATTGATCATAAGTACATGAAACCCAAGTCGATCCACAACCCGGATATCTTGGAGAACTTCTCAAAGGAGTACATGTACCTGGCGTGCGTCATGTATGTGAAGAAAGTGAAGAAGGGGCCCTTTGCAGAGCATTCGCCGATGTTGGATGATATCAGCGCCGTGCCGAACTGGAAGAAGGTGAACAGTGGGTTGCTCAAGATGTACAAGGCTGAAGTGCTTGAGAAGGTGCCCATCATGCAGCATTTCCTCTTCGGCTCACTTATCAAATGGTATGGATCCTGAACACTCTTTAATCATGTTTCAAGTTTATCTGATGCCAACTATTGGATCCTGTTAGTTGATATGTGAATCTCATATCTAGGAAATAGAGGAGAGACTAGTTAGTGCTTCAGTTTGTTTCCCAAGCAAGCTTAAATATAGCATGATGCTTTTCAGGGCCGAGCTAGTTCTAGTAAGGGACTCCGTACCATAGCCGTAGAAGTAAGGCATTTTCAGGATCATGTACAACATGAGATTATGTGATGACTATCCGCCCCCTACTGAATATCAACCATATTGGGAACTCTTAACAGATTGGATCCTTATGCATAGTTGAGTGCTCTAATGTTAGTAAGAGCAAAGTGCTACTGGAAGTTTTATAAACTGCCAAGAACACCTTGCATGAAATTGTTTCTGTACGTGTTAGGTTGGAATACAAATTTTGTAAGCATCTGCTGTAATATTATGCTATTTCCACATTGAAATCATCCTATTAAAAGTGGACTAAACCTCAGTCGATCCAATGCCAATTTGACTTTTTTAATCTATGTTCGGGCGTGACAAATTAGTTCAAAGTCATTGGTCATGCTCATGCTCATGCAACCTATGGATTTGATTGTCAGACTACAGCAAGAAGGAAAATGGGTGCAAATGTTTTTATTGGTTAAAACCTACTCCCTCCGTCCCATAATATAAGAGCATTTTTTACACTAGTGTAGTGTCAAAAATGCTCTTATATTATGGGACAGATTGAGTAGAAGATATCTTGAAAACTGATTCTGTTAGCCGCCCAGCAGACTTCTTGTTTTTTTGGATGGATTGCACTCTTGGCAGTAGAGAAAATTCCCTTGCAGCCATGTAAGTAGGGATGAACGCGGGGCGGAAATTTTCCGGATTATCTGCGGAAAAAGGGAAATGGAGAGGAAATATGGAAGCGGAAATGGAACGGTGTTTTCCGGCGGAAGAGCCACGGAAACGGAAATTCTGTTTCCATAAACATAGAACATTCCGTTCTTCCATGGCTATGTAGCTCAGTGCAGTACTCAGTAATACCTTAGTTAATCCCCTTCCATGGTTATGTGACCCAACAACCAGAATACTAATACCTTACTTAATTCTCTTCTACATTTAACTATCCCCAGCAGGCCAGCCCACTCGCCTCCCGCTCAATCCTCGCTGAAGTGTCCAGGCGCCTCCACAGGGTGCGTCTGGTTTAGGAGATCATTGATAAACTGTGTAGTCATATAAATTGAAATAATTCGCTAGTTTGATTGTGTTTTTGTTCAAGGGTCTTTTAGTTCTGGGCTTCTGGCAAACATCCGGTTATGTATTCGCGTCCGCACCAGATTCGCTTCGTATTCGTTTTTTGGTAGTATCTGTTTCCATATACATTTCGGGGTTTTCTTTATTTGTTTCCACTTCTGCAAAAAATACTAAAACAAATGCGGCACAGCACTCAGTTCTATCCGTTTCCGTCTGTTTTCATCTCTACCTAAGCTGATGAACCTTTGTTTCAGTAGCTAACTCAGCCACCATGCTAAAATTGCTGCTCTTTTTCAGGCTACATTTATTACTTTCATGATGCAAAAGAGTTGACAAAAAAATGTTTTGTTCTCCCCTAATGTTGTGAAAACTCTCATCTGGCATTTTAATGGAACTTTGGATTGGTTGATGTAGACTATTTCAGTTGAAAGAGCAGTATAATTTCGCTGTTGTGGTTATAAAGAAAATGCTATGAAGATGTTTTCAGGTTGCTAGTATGTCCTCGGGACACCGTGGATTATAAGCCACGGCGAATACCAGAAAAGAAGAGACCAGCTAGCTATCAATGCCCAGATGCTTTTTTAGCGCGTGCTGAACTGAAGTTGATGTTATGAGTTAGTGCGATAAACAAAAATAATAATTGAATAATCTTAGCGCTGCCCTCTGTCTTGGACCTCCACGCTGATATCCTCCCGGATTGCATTAGCATTCTTCTCATGACATTGAGATCAACCATTTCATGGTCTGGATTTGAATTTTGTACATTCCCAACACTAATTTCCTGTACGGGATGGTTCTTGTTTCAATTTGTTTGCAAAAAATGTCTGTTTCTGAGTTCTGACAATTAGTACTGTATATCAGTTGATGCTAGAGTTGATCTTTGTCAGGGAATTTGTCTATATAAATCCATTTTGAGGCTTGTAGGTGAATGTGGTACATTGTTCCTTGATTGTGTTGTTGAATTACCACACACGTGTGGGCACACACGCCTGGTTTTCTGCAGATTATGCATTCTTCACCACTGGTATGCATCCTTTTAACTGGGATGCATATGTTGCACATTGGTAGCTTAGGGACTGCTTCAGTACACAGATGACAAAAGTGCCACTAAGATTGTGTATTACGTGTTGTGATGTGGTCAATAACTCAATGTAACATGGGTTGTGTGAAAATATGAAAAACCAACACTGGGGGAAATTACTTAGCTTCAGAACATGTTTTCAAAATGACCCCCTCAATCCTCATGACTCACGGCACCCTTTATTATACTGGAGCAACGCAACGGAAGGTAGATATTTTGTGATATGCAATAGAGAAACATAAAGTATAATATGGGAACTGTTTTTGTGCCAATTAACTAACGTAAAAAAAAACCAACTGACCTGTAGTTGCAATTTCACTTAAGGTGGATTTCCGTTGCTTGGTTGCTTTGGTTTATAAGAGAGCACATGTGCTCTTTTCATAATCATAGAAATCTCCCAAATGTCGAAAGTACAAAAATACTGTTGGTTAGTCTTGGTAAGGGCCACCTGTGTACGTTTACAAAACTGCTGTTGGTACATCTTGGCAAGGGCCACCCGGGTACGTTTGCAAAACTACTGTTGGTACATCTTGGTGAGGGCTACCCTTGTACGTTTACAGCATGTCTCTACTTGATCACCGCAGTTGTACATGTACGGCTGTACTGTTGTTACTGCATCATGAATTAATGCTGTCCTCAACATTTTGGGCCATGCGATGTGATGTAACAATAGGTCTTTTGTGTTTTCCATTTTCTTCAGGGAGGATTGAAGCTGATAACCTCTCCGCGGTGGAGGCCAGTCTCCAGGACAGACACTACACCACACCATGCTCTGCGAGTAACGAAGTACCTACCCTCCTCTGCGATGCAACAAAGACTGATGCACAGCGATGCTGCTCCATGTCAGTACAAGACGGACCTACGGATGTTTCACTTTCCATCTAGGGCAATGGGCTTCTGGCTAGGAGATGTATGCTTTCTGCATGCTAGTGCAGTGCAGTGTAGTGTAGTGTGTAGTGCGTTGGTTCATCACGCCGTTGCTGTGTTGCTCGAATTCTGGGACCTGTCCCTATTCACCTTGCATTTCACGAGGACAAGCTAGTTGTACCACCTTTGATGAATAACGCCCTGTGTTGAGGCTTTTGATGTAGATTACTGGAGGGGAACAGTTTGTTGCTGTTGCTGCTGTTGTGTTTCCCCGTGACTGAGTATGATTATGCCAAAGGTGACCAAAGCTGCCTGCCTGTAAAGCTATGCTCACCTAATACGTGTGGCCGGTGTGAATTAGCAGCAAGCGCACCGGTAAAATCTGAATGCCTAACCACCACCAGCTCGCACCTGTTTGTCTCGTCTGGAGGGAGGTATGGTGGCTGCTGCAGCCTCATGGAGTCATGGGGTTGATTCCTTTTGCATGTGATCCTCCTGCAAGCGACATTGAGTGGCTTGCTCGAGTAGATAATTGCATGCGTGTGGCCTACAATCCAACTGCTAACTTGATGGTTATATTATTACCGTCTGTGAGATGCCATGGTGATAGGAACAACTTTTTCTTGTGCTCTGTGTTTCTTCATGCATGCTGCAATGCAATGCAGCCAGGCCATGGCTTTGTTTGGTGGAGATTTATCCTCCTGCAGAAGCCGTGGAGTGCCAAGGGACGAAATTTTTGCATGGTTACGATATGCTTCTGCTTGGTTGGCCGTGGTGATTCAATGCACATTGATGCTCTTTACCCTCGCAGCGTCTTTCTTTTATGATCTCGCAGAGCATTCAGCGTTGTGTTGCTCATCCTGGTTTTTAGAGCTGGAGTGAGGCCAGGGGGGACCCTGCACTGCACAGAGCACTGATTGGAGAAGCAAACACATAAATGAGAAACAGAGATATGTACGCAGTACAAAGACATATTTCTCTCTGTACTCGTGTTTCACGTACCCATCAGCAGTGCAGTGCAGTATTTCCCTCAACTGCTTGCTGGTTGCCTGGTAGAGTTTTCGTTGTTGCGTGGAAGAGTTGGCGAGAGCATTTATTATGGGCGTGTTTGGTTGCCCGCATCGAGCCCAACCAGACCCGCGCGGGAAGGGAGAGACCTGTTTGGTTGCTCTGTTTTTTTGTTGGGCCTGCATCGCACGCTTCTCAAAGCAGCCCAGAGCCTGGCTTGCTGGAAACGCTCGGATGTCAGTTTCTCGCGAGCCAGGCTGAGTGCGGCGCGAGGTCGCACGGGCGGGAGCGAGACGAGGGCGAGGGGGGATGGCGGGAGATGGAATTCTAGCGCGCCGTCCCGGCGCCAAATTAGCCTCATCCCCCTTTCACTCGCTCACCCATAGCCACTGCCTCCCTCCCTTCCCTACTGCCTCACCACCGGCGGCGGCGGCTGCGATTTCAGATCTGCGCTATAGGCGGCGGCGGCGGCGGAAGAGGCGACGGCGTTTGCGGCGGATCTGGTGCTCCCCTTGCTGTTGGCCACCGTCTGGTCGACCTAGTTTGTGCCATCACTCCCCCTGCGCCGTCCTCGTCTCCGATGCCAGTAAGCAGCACCCCCTCCCCCCTTTGTTAGCTCAGTGGTTAGGCCTTTAAGCTAGGTGTAGGACCGATTTCCCACTGAACGAACCGTCGATGTCGACTAGGTTATGGACGCACGGATGAGGCTGATAATCCAGGCAGCATCACTGATTAGTGTGATTCAGGCATGGGTCATGTTCATGCACCAGAGAGCTGTTCGTCGTGCTGGGAGACCTTTGATCCTCTATGGTCCATTGTTTCCCCGGGAACAGGAGAGGATCCAAAATCTGAACTACATCTACAACTGCAATGACGTCGAGGCTCTGTGGATGCTTAGAATGAAAAGAGTACCATTTGCCAGGCTTGTCGAGACCTTCAGGAGCAGGGGCCTGTTACAAGATAGCATCAACACCAGTGTCGAAGAGCAAGTGGCCATGTTCCTCCATGTTGTTGGCCATAACCAGAGGTTCAGGGTCATTCACAACACGTTCAGGAGATCAATGGAGACCATCTCTAGGTACTTCAAGCAGGTGCTTTTTGTTGTTGGGGAGCTTAGAGGAGAGATGATCAGGAGACCATCTGGCCAGACTCCACCCAAGATTCGCGGAAGCCCAAGATGGTATCCATACTTCAAGGTGAGCATTGACAATATACAATTTTCATGGCTTGATATGCTTGTATTGTTCAAGTTGAGAACTAACACAGGCATGGCATTTTCAGGATTGCATTGGGGCAATAGATGGTACTCATGTCACTGCCAGAGTTCCTAGGTCATAGTCTGCAGCATACAGGGGGAGGAAGCACTACACAAGCCAGAGTGTGCCTGTTGTTGTTGACTTTGATCTGAAGTTCACATATGTGCTGGCTGGCTGGGAGGGGTCAGCGCATGATGCTAACATTCTCAGTGATAGCATGAGTCGACCTGATGGGATCAACATCCCTGACGTCAAGTTCTACCTTGGAGATGCTGGCTATGCATGTCGACCGGGTATTCTTCCACCCTTGAGGAAAACAAGGTACCATCTTCTCTGGTAGGAACTATCCTAGGACTGCACAGGAGCTGTTTAATCTCAGACACTCCAGCCTTAGAGTAACTGTTGAGAGGGCATTTGGAGCTCTGAAGAATAGGTTTAAGATCCTGGATCAAAAGCCATTCCACCCATACTCCACTCAGGTTAAACTAGTTCTTGCTTGTTGCATTCTGCATAACTGGATCCTCCAGTGGGGCTTTGATGAACACATGCCTGAGGAGGAAGATGTCGAGCCTGACGATGTTGTTAGCTCCAGCCATGGTGTGGAGGCATTTGATAATGAGGCTTGGAAGAACAAAAGGTTGGAGTGGGCAGAGGCGATGTGGCTTAACAGAGGTCAGTGCAGGATTTGAAGATGGAAGAAGAACAAGAAGCAGAAGCATCAGTACCAAAAGAAGCAGTAGTACCAGAAGCAGCAGCAGAAGCAGAAGAAGAGAGGAAGAGGAAGATCTGGTAGCACCGATGAACTATCACCTATTTAGCCAATGGCTCTTAATAATTTGAACTGTCATTTGATAGTAGTTAGGATGAACTGTCATTTGTTAAACTATCTAGGACTATGTTCAGATTGTGTATGGTTAGGTCACCATTAGTTAGAAGTGGTGACAACACCTTATGCAAGTTGCAACCAAATACCATGTCGTATGTGCGCCTAATGCAATGCGGGCAACCAAACGCCGGGTCAAAAATGGTTGTCTCATGCAACTAGGGGCATGCAGCAACCAAACTATGTGCATCTGGTTTTTTTGGCATGCATCCCCTCAAACCGGCTTAATAGAGCCAGGCTCGCCGGGTCAGGCTGAATCGGCAATGTAACCAAACACGCCCTACAAGACGCAGATGGACGCAGCAATTCGATTCCGAGCGTGAACAGTAAAATCAAAAGGAGTAGGAAAAAAATCTAAAAAATTTCTTTTTTTGGCATGCAAGATGGTCGAGTGTGTAATGTCCGTGCTAAATTTGGTGATGTTTGGACTTTTGAGTAGCCCTCAACAAAAAAATATTGAGCCTGTGTGAAAGTTTAAATAACACACTGGTCGAACCCTTTTTTTTGCCACGAGCTCCTCGGATGTCTGAACACCACAAAATTTGAAACGGACATCACACATTTGAGTATCTTGATTGACAAAAAAATCAGATTTTTCTGAATTTGTATTTTTTAATGAAATTAATGTTCACCAAGATCAGATGAGGCTAGGCTCACAACTGAATATTCGCATTCTTGTACCCTTTCTTTTTCTATGGAAAACATTACGTAAAGGTAAAAAACATTGTGTATAATGTTAAGAAAAACATATAAGGCCTCGTAGATATGCAGAAAAATACTGGAGTGCACAGAAGGGGCATCTATCCTAGACAACAGAAAGGATTGTAGCAAAGAGAAAATTATAACTTGGTCCTGAGTGATCCTTGGCCTTCACGCATGTTGTTGACCCCTTCGCCGATCAAGACGATGGAGAGGAAGAAGGCAGACCCCCAACTGATCTGGACTGTAGAGCGTCTTGACGCGCCTTGACACTTTATTGACCGATGGAGTGGCCACAACCAAAGGTCGAAGCCTTTTCTGTTGTGGCACGTCGGTAGGGACAATGTCTTTTAGAGGAGGGGTGAGGGGTTGAAGGATCAAGGATGCTTGCTAGAGGGGGTGGAAGGCGATGAATAGGCGACTAACAAATGTTTATTAGATTGAATGTGAGAAACACACACGCGCGCATAGGAACATCACTCCCACTGAAAGAATAATTTGCACCAATGAGGGTTTTATCCCTGGTGGGCTTGGAATACCATCACCCACCTAACAGAACAAACACTAGCTGGTTCTCATCAGATTGATGGTTTTAGTGAAAATATGATATAAAGGTTCTAAAATATAGCAGTAGACCTTCATGTTATTTGTGGCTTCATGAACTCCTAATGAAAATCCACAACTTGAATACTTGCGGTGCATCCAACTGCCTAGGTGTCCGCCTACATCAAGAAAAATAAGCGGATGAATGCTAGAAGTACTTGATGCTCTTTCTCAAAAGGGAATAACTCAAACCTCACATGAATCACACCTCCCTCTTGGATTCCGGCACTCTCCAACTTATGGTTCACTCCAATGGAGGTATGAAGAAGGAGGTGAATAACACTTGTATCTCATATATGGAATTTTGTGAAGAGTACCCTGCACCAGCCCATGGCGGGGGTGGGGGGAGGGGTGTGAGGAGATATTTGTAGAGTTAGGAAAAAATCATCCATTACAAGAAAAGATGTTGGAAACTCCAGGAACCAAGTTCCAACGGCTACTCAGAAGGTGCCACTTAGGAAATTTACGACATTCAGATACTTTATGTTTTATCTCTAAGACTCCAACCCCAAGAAATTTCGAAGAGGAAATCAAGTGGGTCCGAAGTTGACCCCAGACTCTGGTTCAAA